TCTGGCAGGCGGGAGAGAAACTGACCCTCACTTGGGGCACTTGGGCGTGAGCTACTTGGTATAAACCGTGTGTTCTGGACGCTGTTAACCCCGCTGTCTGTACATCTATTTAACGTGACGACTTATAATGATTGAGATACAATTACTCCCTTCAACCCTGCCCCGTGGTTTACAGATAATGTGTTAGCAACAACTTTACCGTCCCCAGTCCTACTTTAGGCTTGATATGAAGTGTTTATGACGAGCCTCGTACCCCTCACGCCAGTCTCAGGAGGCGCCTCATCCAACCTTCTAGTAAGTTTTTGCCACGTGTGAGGACCGAGTTCCTGGATGATCGCCTCCCGTCTGTCACGGCATGATACTAGCACGAAGGTGATTGGTTGTTTGATGACGCACTTCTCTGTTCGTCTCGGTTCAAGTTCCACGAAGTATTTTTAGTCAGTCAGCTGTGACGTTCATGTTTACAAACATTGAGACTAACAGGGTATCATGGTGATCAGATTGTTGCATCTCGCTGGCCAGATGGTGGTGCCCTCGCCTGGTCGTAGCCTCACGCACTAACCAACAAATCACAGTTCCAATAACCTGATTCCCCCAATCAGTGGTCGAGTCTTGACGGTCCCTTTACGAGTCTAGGGCGACTCCGGACCGGTGGGTACAGGTCAGCGTGGTAGCAGCCAGTGGCCATGCCAATACCGTAGCCCCAGGCAGATAGGCCTACAGGTGACGGGAATAGTGTCGCCCTTGAATAATTGGCATTTGAAATAGAATCTGCCTATTCAGGGTTAGGCGGAGTCTTTGATTACAATTTGATCATGTGTTGTGAAGAAGTAATAGGCTTAATTCAGGTAGTGCTGCATGCTAATGGTCGGAGGGTTTAGCCCATATATTTGTCCTGGAGGCCTAGTGGACTGACCCCTATTTGCATATGGTTGGTTTTTTGAGAGGTAGGCTTAGGCGGTTGTACAAGTGAATGCAGCAGTATGTCTGTGGGTTCTTGTAAGCCGATTACGGCAATCATTTAACAGAACTGCAGTGTCCACACAGAAGGAAAAAACAGTCCTGAGAGAGAGAGGCTCTTTATGTGTTTTTCAAACTTCAGCTCTCGTGTAGGTCGGTGTCGGCAGCATAGGGCAGGCTGGAGAGAGAAGATTCAATAGTTGGGCTTAACAGGACGGTTTGTACTCTTTGATCTTGGTATTCTGCTTTAAGACTAGTGCTGTGACCTGATGTATAGCGGTAGTTGTGCGACCAGGTGAGGAGGTTGGTGTCTCATGGTAGCAACAAGGAGGACGGACCCAGCAGCGGCAGGGACCACGTGTGTGGTGGCCAGACCTAACCCTCTAGACGGCGTGGAGAAAGGTGGTGAGGGGGTAGTGGCAAAGTGGGGGGGATGACGGGATGTGGTGGGGGGAGGATGCGGGTTGTGTACATGGTGGGGTTCAGAGATATAGCTGTGTACTACAAGGTGTGACGCTCACTCACTAGAGTGTAGTACACATGTAGCGCGGATCGTACAGGAATTAGGTCATGGCGACTCCCTTACGCTTTTAGAGTTCTATTGAGGGATTCATGCTAAGGAATTAAAATACGACTCTTATAAATAATATTGTAATACTGGGAACATTAAATGGAAGTGCTTCAGTGTGGATGTTTAAAATAACAAGAGCACACGATACCGTACTGCCGGATGCTGCGACCGACCACAAAAAAAAACACTAGTTGGACCCCCGGACGGCAGCCATTTTTAAATGTCCAGGTGTTAGTAGAGGACCGCGTGGCTGTAGAAAACGGGATGTGGTGCGCCCTTCCTTATGGGAAAAACTGTACTATAAACCGGTGCAGTACAGTACTACCTTTTACATTAGACATTATTTTTACTTGGCATAACAACACCTTAGTAATTATCGAAAGTACCGTAAGACATTCACTCTAGCAGAAGCTCGAGAACAGAATTCCAAGTATGTTAGGGTATTTAAATCGCCACGAGGTGCGGTGTAGACGGCGTACAAAAGGCTGGTCCGTCTAGCCCTGGGGCGTCACAATGCCGTCTGGCAGCTGAGGGAGGAACCTTCGCCCTGCTCTCTCAACCTCAGCCATCTGAAACAGCTTCCCCTGACATGATGATGCTTGTCTACCCTTACCTGTGCTGAGGAGGCTACCCCCTCACAACCCCTCCCCCACTGCCAATTCCACCACGTGGCCGCTTATCCACCCCACACAACAACCCTTCCCTGCCTCGTCTCGCCTCACACTACAACCCTTCACCATGTTTTACCTCACATAGCAAACATTGTCTTTATCTTGCTTCACCTCTCATAACCACACAGCTCATCTCGCACAACTCTGCCTAATACTACGCCTTACTTCACTCATCATATCCATTCCCCGATACTACGCAGCCTCGTTCCTTACCTACCTCACCTACCCAACATCCACCTCATTTCACCCAACAGCCACCTCCCTGTCATCCACCTCACCTCATTCTTGTATTGATATCTAGGTTTGGATGGCATGAATAATAAAAAAAAAATACATCAGTTTAACCAAATCGGATCATTGAACATAGCCAGGAAACAGTGGTAGTGGGGGGTTCACAATGACTAGGCTGCCAGTAATTACGACTAACCATGCTCTTGCCGGACGTTCAACCCTTTAAAGGCCAATGCAACAGTGGCCACGCGCCGGAAGCACCGAGTGGTTATGTCCGGAGTGTACGTAATTTTCCGGAAATTCAAACGCAGCACGAGAGGTGATCACGGATGGTGGTGGTGGAGACCGGGATGCTGTACTGCTGCCGGGTCTCTCTCTCTCTCTCTCTCTCTCTCTCTCTCTCTCTCTCTCATGGAACCTTATTTTCTGTCTCATTTTAGTTCCTCCTTCATGACTTCAAACTTTTGGTTGCGTGAGTCTTAACGTGAAGGAGGAAAGTCTTGTACCTTTCAGTATTCTCGGACAAAAGTTTCAACAGGGAATGAAGTGTCACCTCTAAATTGGTTTAAATACAATAAAGGTTTGACGCGATTGTTTTGTTTGTGTTTAGGAAGTGTTTTAAAGGGCTGGTGGTTGCTGCAGCTGCTGGTAGAGGAAAATAAGTCGGCTAGCACCCTGAGAGGAGGCTACACCACCGCCTCAACACCCGACGGACGGGAGCAGACGTGTTGCCATAGCCTCTCGCTATTACTGCTAGTTTCCCCTTCATCTAATTATTGCATTGAATATTTTCCACCTTAGCTGTAAAGTATGCTAAACTTATGCAAACTGCAGGGAGCGTTTGGGTTCTGTAATTACTTACGATGTATAACAGTTTTCAATACATGTGCAAAAATTTTTAAAAGTGACCCACAAGTTCACTAATGGCCTTTTACTTTCATTTAATTATATACAATTATTTCTCTAATTACCTGAAATATAATGTGTATTTTCCTCAGTTATCGACACAACTCCCCAAATAATAAATCATAAACCTCCCCGCGTGTATGAGCGGTGTTGTTCCTTTCAGTCCTTTAAGGCTAAAATCCTAGTGTGAAGGGCGGGACTTTGGGCCGTATGTGGTAGCTGGTGGCCGCCTCCAACAGCGCCGGTGCGTCTGGTGTCTCCAAATCTCCCATAGCTCCCTCTTCGACACAACAACAATGCAAAACAATGGGGCAGGCCAGGACAATACTGGCCGGTCGGAGGGGCACAATAGGCCTTGCAGGTCGACCGGGAGAGGGACTCGCCCTCGCAGGGATTTCGGGGTCTTGAGGCAGCGGGGGTGACGAAGGGCTACTAAGGGCCTTCCAAGGGCCACAAGGCTCTCCCGCTGTGCTCGACAGGGACTGTTTCGGGGTCCTGTAGGGCCTTGAGAGGGTTGAGGGCTACCGGCCAAGGGGGATCATTGTTGCAACTTGTTCTGAGGTCGACGGGGATTGTCATCGGATGGGTCGAGACTGCCGAAACCAGTTGTTAGCCCTGGGAGGTCAAGCTTATCACCTTCTACAACTAGTAATGCTCACCACTTCAACATGTAAATACAAGACATGAACTTATGCCCCACGGTGATAGTCTGTAAGTTACGCTGTTGGGTGGCAGTTAGTAAGAGTGGGTGGCTGCGATAACTATATGGGTGATCTTTACATGAGAGTTATCCCCTACATGCCAAAAGGTTCCCTGGCGTGGTGATTGTCAGTTGTCATGTGATATTTTTCGTTCACTCGCATAATTTGGTAGAAGGCAATACATGTAAAGGGCTCCGGGGATGACTCCTGCGGTTGTCGTTTGAGGTTTGTGAAGGGGTGCATTGTGGGACCGTCTCCTGGGTGACGTCCTTCCAGCTCGCCTGTACAGTTTCCCGAAGACTACATCAGCGCCGTGCCTTTTGTGAGCCTCGTTAGTATATCCGTCTCTCCTGCGTTTCCCATCCGCGTTTCCTCTCGCGGCCATCTTTAAATTTCACTTTCCTTATGGCTGGGAGCTGAATTTCTTAGAATTTTCGTCCGTATCGCTCGTATAGTGAAGTAAGGTTTGTGTAGCTGTGGGCTGGGCTTAGCTTGAACTTAGTTTACTGTAGGAAAAGTTTGTGAGGAAAATTAACCCATATTATAGCCGACACAGAGGTGACCTCTCCTAATTGTACATAAAAGTCCGGAATTACTGTATGAAAGCACAAATTTGAGCCGTGAGTCAGGTACCATGAAGGTCGTCTTTTGGTCACTGGGATTTATGAATAGCGACAAGGATTAAGTATTATGATCTACCGCGTGGAAATTTAGTTTGTTAATATTAGTAAAGCTTAACCTCTCAGCAGTTGCCCTCATCCGTTTCTGCTGAGGAAGTGTGTACAGCTCTGCATGTTGCAGGAGATGCTCAGTGGAACATATGAAGTGTTGTTGGCGAGGATGTTGTAATTGATGATGAAAATAAGTTGTTTTGAATTTTTGCTCGTTTTATTAGTTATATTTTAAATTTTAATGTTTTTCTCAAAGAGACTAACATTTTTTTTCTTTCTTTCTTTATAGAGCCGGAGTTCGTGCAGGTTGAGCCCTCTGCCATAGCCGTGGCCGCCATCACTGCTGCTGTGCGGGGACTCAACATGTCCTCATGGTCCGAAGTCCTCTCCACCCTCGCCTCCGCTGTTAACCTTGATGCTCACGCCCTCATGCCTGTGATACAACAGATTGATCTGGTAGTGACAAAGGAAAGCACAATACTCCCTCCTAGTGTGCACAACCAACAGCAGCAGGCGCAACAACAGCCGTCGACCCCCACCAACAAGCAGCAGGCCACCGTTCCCATGGACTTCGATATAAACGACACACCAAAAGATCTCACGGATATACACTTCTGATGCCGAGGGCGGCGGTAGTTGCATGATAGCACTGTTGCTCCTTAGGGGTCCTGTTATGGGCATCCGGGGAGTGTAGACATAGAAGTTGTAACGGACGCGCTGCTGAGGCACAGCCAGCCAGCCAACCCGACGCCGCTTCCACCTTCAGCACCAAACCTCAGGTACCAGAGGGTCTGTCAAACCTCCAAGCAAGTCCCAAGTACAGTAGAGTGAAACTGACAGCTATATCTGAAAGTTCTCTATAGTAAGCAGCTGTTCAGTGACGTGTACAAGGACTATTTTGAAAATCTTCAGATCACAGTCATTTTTTATTGAGTGGAGTTGAAGCCAAACCAAAGACATTTTTGAGGGTGAGGTAGCGGTGTTTCCTTAAAATTTCTGTAGTGGGTAGGATCTCCCCTACAGATTAACACAAAAAAATCTTATTTTAATATTCTGAATCATCTCAAAAGATCCTGGGTGCTGGCGCGTGTCCTCATGGCAGGGCGATCTAGCTCATACCAAATGGTGTAGATCTCAGTCATTTTCTGTATCCAGTCAAAGTCAGGGGCGGGGGACCTGTGGGAATTAGTCTGCCTTCAGGAGCTATGAACACTACATAATTCTCTTTAGAATCTAGAGCACGCAGGAAAAGTCGTACTTGTCCAAAAAGTGCTGTAACATCCTATACGAGTATAAGGTTATCAAAGTATGACTGTTGAAGGAGGCCTTAACATAGAAACTAAATGGAGAGGCAGCAGATGCTAGCGGATGTCAACGAGGGGTAGCATACTAGCCCTCTTTGTTCTTCACTCCGCAGTGTAGATGTACTTAATATACAGTACACAGTTAGCCTGAAGCCCGTCATGGTGCGGGAGAGTAGCAAGTGTAATGCATCAGTTGTTTTTGTCACCGAGGCTGCTGTGATCAAGCCAGGGCTTGGAATCGTCTCAAGACATTTGATTATAACTGTTGGATTATACCCTGCTCTTTAAAGTTCCTGTATGGGCCCCCTACATGCGTTTATCTAAACGTGTCAGTATTATTAAGTAATAATCAAATATATGTTAATGAATTGTCAGAACCAAGGTGCTGTATATTTGGATTCTCAAGAACGTCTCAAGTAAACCTGTCCTCAAACACGAAGCTTACTTGCGGGTGTCGGGCATTACTTCCCAGATGTGTTCTCAGTCCAGTGTTCCGGGTGTTGTGAATGCTGTTCAAAAGTTACGTAGGAACAAATTCCATGATCTCGTCGGTTGTGTGAGGAAAACATGCACAAATTATTTTCTCCTTTGTATAAATCCTATTTTGTATATAGTGTGTATACGTTGTTAATAATGCTACTTATAGGCTATTTTATTATATATATTGTGAAGGATGAAATGGGTTCCAGTGTCACTTTTGAGTTTACGAGAAGTCTTCATTTGTGTATGAAGTTGTAAATGATGTGTTTTCTCGCATGAAATAATTTATTTGAATTTTTCATTCCAACATTTACATTCGTTTTAATTTACTTTTTTTGTAAATGTTAAAGAATACTGTACTGAGTGATTGTAAACATTACCTGAATAAGTGCCTTTGTATAAATTGAATTTGTGCCCTTTTTTGTATGACGTGTAACAAATTCCTTAAACTATTTATTTTGGCAAAACAAATTGTCAGTCTTCTGCTTTCTGTACGATAATCTGTGCCTTAAAAATATTTTTTTTATGAAAGATTAATATTTGTTTGGTATGTACTTGATACTATGCTCTCTGCTAGCATATTATAGTACTATATTTGATGTTGTCGCTTCATGATCTGTTGAAAATCAGACATGGGTTCTACTAGATTACAAAATAAATTGTTTATTTACTAAAAATTGTAAAACCATTTATGAAAGTTGCTATGAGTGAGGTTGTACTGGCAAGTGGCTGCCTCAGGAAATGATTTGGCTGGCCTTCCATACGCCCTCACCCATTCTTAATGAAGATTTCTGGTAGCTAGAAAACTTTGTAGCATAGCATGTGTACGTGGCCTGGTTTCTCAGGTGTTTTCTAGTCGCGTTCTCTTGTTGGTGAAGTTGTTGATGACGATTTCTTGGTTTCTGAACACTATTTTTTATCTTAATATCATATGTAATTAATTTAATTTATAACATTTCACTTTTAATTTCTCTCTAATATTTGTGCTTCGAAGGGCGCCACTGTCAATGATCTTCTTGGTGATGATTCATAGTCTCTCCTCTTGGATGGTATGTTTATCTTGTACCTTATATATATATTATATTTATTATTATTTCTTGTTTCTTAAACCGCGTCATCGGCATTTCTTCAACAAGTTATTCTTGTACCTCCTGTGTTCACGGGAAATAATATTAGTGCTACTAAGGTACAACTCATGTACTAAGTGTAGTGCTTTGGTACAGCCTCTGCTACATTCACTAATTAGTTAAGTACCGGTCAGTGTTATAGTACTTATACTACTAAAGTTCAGAATTCTGTGGCGCGGGCAGCGTATCAAGTTCTGTGGTGTGGTCCACTGACTGTACCACGTTCACTGCTCTAATACAATAGGCAGTATCACGTTCAGCACTACACTGAGCGATGTGAAAGAATATTTGTACTCTTGTATGTTAACAGTGAAAAAAAGGACCCCATACTTTTGCGGGTGTAATTATTTCTATTATAAGCTGTGTTGTCATTAATAAATCGAGAATATTATATTTGTGTGTCATTAGCATCTTCTCAAACACAAAACCATGATTACTTAACCTACATGGTAACTAAATAAATTAGTAACACACCTATTGATGATTATATGAAAATGGGTCAGATAATAAGATATGAGAGTCTTGTCTCTACAGTGAGCACACAAACACCAGTCACCTACGGGAACACATTAACCTACAGTTACAACATCCCTTCTAAACATTTTACAGCACTGCAAGATGTGGCCACTTAACTTATCTATCTATATCAAGTATGTTTACGCTGGGAAGGAGGGAGGGATATGTCACACCCACTGTACAGTACTGAGCATCTACACTGAAGGAAGGAGGTGATGGAATGGGTAAGGGAGGATACGAGACGGAATTATGGAATGGATATGAAATTATAAACTCGACTGATAGCATGCTGCACTCGGTAAGGAATGATGGAACAAAATACGAGATGGTGTGGAACACTGAGTGTAGCCTGACTGTGGAACACTGAGTGTAGCTTGACATACTGTGGAAGCCTGAGTGTAGCCTGACATAGTGTGGAACACTGAGTGTAGCCTCATATAGTGTGGTAGCCTGGCACGGTGTGGAAGACTAAGTGTAGCATAATTAAATATATGTTAGTGATGTCATTTAAATGTTAAACACGATAATGTGTGTGTGTGTACATCCGGGACAACTAAGTATGAAGGACACTCCAGGTCAAGCACCTCGCAGCAGGGACACACGCCAGCTGTCAAGGCGTAAAAAAGTTTGTAGACCCCGAGCCGAGGCGTCCCCACAGCAGCTGTCTTTGTTCTCAAGGAATAAACACCTCCCAAGACCGATAACACGGATTAAAGAATCTAATTACATCATGCTCTCAGCTGGCCGAAAACGCGCTACGTGGTTGGCCAAGGAGGTAATGACGTCACTACGAGCAGACTGTCTGGCGCGTCTGTGATTGGTTATGAGACGTGACGTCAGGAGCAGGTGTGCGAGAGAGGAGGATGCTGCGTCATACTCACAGTTACCAGTTATATTCTATAAGCGCTTCACAAGCAATTGATTTATAAAGGCCACTCATAACTATTTAAAACCTCTATAAAGAAAAAAAAGAGACATTTGAATTTTCACAACGTAATTTAGGTAAATTGGACGATAAAACAAATATATGTGACTTGCCCTTAATAGCCGCTGCTGAGATTATTCAGTGTTTCAGCTGGATGCTAAGTGGTGTGTTTGTGTGTGTGTGTGTGTGTGTGTGTCGTATAATTCACTTCCCACCTCAACCTATACTCTCGAGCTCACTTCATCTAACACAGGTGGGAGTAATTATCCACCTCCCCCCTCACCTATTCACTCGCTGAACTGCTGACTTAAACCATTTTTTTCACCTGGTCTTCAAAACATTGTGAATTACGCTAATATGTTTAATTTGTTTGGATTTATGTTATGTAATGGAAATGACATTAAAGCACATACACACACACACACACACACACACACACACTCTCTCTCTCTCATGTACAAGTCAAATTATGCAACTGAGTTTCTTGGGAATAAATGTGAAATAACTGTGATAAACAGAAGGTAAAGGGAAACTGTGATAAAATACCTCCTTTCAATTGTCTTATATGCTCTCTACGACCGAACTGATGTCCCGAAGTGGATCACGTTAAGATTAGACACCCAGCTTAATTCACCTGATACTTAAACACCTCAAAGCTACCTTAGGGGTTAGATTCAACAGGTGACAATAATAAACTGAAGTGTCTAATCCTCACGTGATTCCTGGGACGGGGGTGAACCAACACATATACGGCAGGTGAGTGAGTGTTCAGTTAACGAGCCATGATTAAGACTGGGGTGGTGCTAACATTTGTCGGCCAGCCACTGACCTACCTGTGACCGTCATTCCCTGCCACCATCAAGTACTTCCCCAAGCAACGTTTCTCTCTCCCATCATCATTATCATCAATAATTACAAAATATACCACTTATCTTGCCCCACACCATTACTCTTTACCGCCGCACAATTACTGCACCATTAACAATCTTACATTATCACTATCATATTTAACATTAGCATTAACTGTGTTAGGACTCATTATTGTCACTATACTCCTGAGTCATAGTTCATCTTATTTCAAGGTCATTGTTTAGCCTCAATACTAAAACTAAAATATATTATCACAAGCAGTATTTATCTCTACTCACGTATTCACAAAAATATTACATTATTAATAAATATACATCAGTCATATAAGTAATAATGTAGATAAACTTGGGCTCTATGGAACCCTCCTGGTCGATAATATTGAACGCTTGTGTAATATTATATATATTATGGGGTAACATTACTAAGGGTTATGTATACACCTGCCATACTCAATCATGGGTAATAAATACATACAATAATTGTGTGTATTCTCGTCTTATACTGCATCATACACTGTACGGTGATACAATGCATATGTACATTATATGTATTGGGGTGAGACATTTAAAACTTATATATTGCTCTTTGCAAGATGATTATGAAGCAAGTTAGTATATTTCAAGGTGAATATTGATGTAATTTTAGTTTCTTAGTTTATATTCGGTAAGCCTCGTCTGTTGAGGCCATGCACATATTACACTCACTATACAACTGTTTTCTATAAGAATGGTATTATGTGAGGTGTAGGAGCAGCTCCAGAAATAACCCCACTCTAGAACACCACCCTTTAAAAACTGCCATCTCAATGTCGAATTTAAATGATATCCATGGTGTGTTTTAATCACAAATTTGATTGTTTTCATAAAAGTGGTGATTTCCTTTCATTTCGCATGATTCAAGCGGTTATACAGACGACAAGGTGATATTGATGCTCCATAATCCTTAAAACGACGCTCTAAATTCAAATTTGGTTTCTCCGTTGATGCAGCTGTTGTATGGCAACAGCTGCATTAAAATTGCAACAAGAGAATGGAGCAAAGTTCATTAAATATGATGTTACCCTACCCCCTATATCGATCCCCATACCTTCAATGGTTTTGTTGATTTCAAAGTATCGTTGCTTGTTGCCGAGCAACGGTACCACATTTTACCCTTATGTAACGAATTAATCTTTCAGTCATATACAACCATAAGTTAAAACTAATTAACTACTAATAATTAAAAAAAATATATAACATTCAATTTATCTAAAATCCCCTTATCACCTGAAAACCAATATCATGTGCTTTTGTTCCATATTGCTAAGGTTTCTGTAAGTTAGTGAGCGTCGATAAATTAATTGAAAATTCACTCACCTACTGTCGCTGGCAAAATATATAAACGACTAGTTGGCAACGACTCAGAACACGGTATCAACAATCATGGTGAGAAGTTACTCATACTGAGCGACAACAGTGTTTACATTTCATAAGGCAGAAGTTTGTGTAATGTGTTGTGGTTCAGGGGTCAAGATTTCCCTTAACAATGATTGTGAAGTGTGGATTTATTTATTTTGTTTGTGAGTGCACACTGCACAAAGACCGATAGTTACTATACTAATGGAACTTAGTATGTCTCATCACTGACAATTTCAAGTGAAAGTTCTGGATTCTGCCTGTGACCTAGTTGGACATTCATTTCACATTCGTCTTTGTGACTCAAGGACCTGCTATTTTATATAAGATCAATTTCATCGACTTTCATGTCGAAAATGAGGCCTTTAACCAGTTGGAAAGAAGTCGACAAGAAGATTGTAAAAGAATGTTTAACCCGCCTACCTTGGGCCTTAAACAATGTGTTGTTACTAATTCAGTATTACGCTGTGTGGTACAGTTGCGGAAATGTGTTCCTACACCCCCTGTGGTAACCCATGTCTCCAAGCGGCCAAATTAAATTACCTATAACAAACCTATCCACCAACCACATCCGTCGTTGTACGACCAATACCTATTCATTCATAAATAATGATACCACGACTGCGACGGTGCCGTTTGGACACGGGTTACCACAGGGGTGTAGGAACATTTCCGCAACTGTACCAGTGTTAGCAACTTGGAATAAGTGATATTCACCTTGGGATCCCGTCACTGTCCTCATCTCAAAATTGATGAGTACGAATATTTATTTTGACAAAGTTCATGACAAATTCTGCTTTGTACCCAAGAGCAAATGTGAGATAAACAAGGCTGTGTTTTGTAGGCGCACAGACGATAACAAGAAACAAAAAGGACTAAGCAAACATAAGGTAATGTAATACAAAAGACTTGCTTCTAAAATAAGTTTTAATATTTTGATATATATTTTTTGTTGTTGTTGTCTCGATAATAATACTAGGAGTCCGGTGAAGGTATGTCATAATTCAATGTTCGGTTCTCCATTTTTTTTCATGACTACGCAGTAGATAGACTAGGCTATAGCGACAGTTGCGTGTGTGACTGGAGCCGCTGGTACTTTACTATTACCAGGGCCGGATTTACCAATAGGCCAAGTAGGCTATTAGCCTAGGGCCCACCGGTATCTGGGGGCCCACTGAAACTAATTTGTTGAGCAGCGTGCCAGCGTATAACCTTGTTTCAAGTGTACACCGAGTATTTCATTATATAATATATTCACAACCATAAGGGCCACTGTACAATAAGTATGGGGCCCCTGTACAATAAGTATGCAAACATTTCTATAAATTTGGGGGCCCACTGATGAATTTGGCCTGGGGCCCACAAGTAGGTAAATCCCGCCCTGACTATTACCCCAAATTTAACTAAGGTTGGGTTTGTCTGCTCCGTCTGTTGTCATTTATGGTACACCCAGAAACTACATCCTTGTTGTGAGAGCGTAAAAGTGGTAAACACGCCCAGCCTAATCAAAGTGGTAAATGAAATGAGCTACCTTTTGCTTGGCCTGTAAATCAAACATATTGAACTTCAGAACATAAATACTCGACTTATTGACCTTTCTTATTATTGGCCAGCTGTTTTAGTAACTTCCCACATATACTACGTATCTTAGCGTGCGAATATAATAAATGCCTGTCTTCGTTATTT